GTTGTGCATTGATGCTGCTCGAACTGGTATTGATGATGCAGCATGAGAAGTTCCCGATACCACCCCAGCCCACTGACCTTTTCGGAACCATGAAGTTGTTAATTAGAAATTCTGGAGAATTACTACCCCAAAAACTCACGACTTGTTAGCTGAAGCTTTGCCCGCTAGTGTAATTTGATGCCCTGATCATAAATATCGCACTAGCTTCTGGCTCTGGCGCCATGTGGCACCAACCACACTTCTTACCAAGTTCGGTATAAGCCTGCATGTAAGGTTTCTCGGTGTTTCGTTTGTCCTGTTTTGACCCCGAGTGTGCAGCGCAGACTCGTGACTGTTTCGTACCAGGCGGTGTGCTAGGGCGGCCAGACAAACACGGCCGGCCAAACAAGACAGTATTCTTTTTATTTCCCTGCGATAACGATCATTCTCTTGGCTAAGGCTCAGCATTAGCAGAGCAAAGGGTCAATATTTGGGGAAAAGACTGCCGAACAGCGCAGCAGACTAAGGTGTCACGACCCTCCTCCTCCAGTTAACACCATCGGCGGCCAACGGATGCGATCTTCTGTTTAGGCAACCAGACTACCGCTACGGGCAAGTTTATAGCGGATTAGCTGGTTTGGGGTATTTTGGAGCCTCCTGAACATGAATATATTGCCCAACGGACGCGATATTCGTGTCAGGAGGTCGAAATACCTGAGAATAAACTTCCATTCGAACCTGCCCCTTAGGAGAAGTCGGTGGAAAACTGCTTTGATTTCAGAAAATTTGGGCAGCAATAATTGATATTGCCAAATTTTTGCCTTCCGACTCAACTATGTATGGTTTATAACATCGCAGAAGTCGCGGCGGCGAGCGCTGAGAGGCTTCAGCTTGCCTCTGACAGATTTGCTCTACCAATGGTGATAGAGTAGTGATCGATTTAGGAAGAGAACAATCAGCGGTCGCAGGTGGATACCGGCTGATTGCGACCCGACTCGTTGCGGTGATACCCTGGGATGTGGTAGCGGTGGCTGCGTACTTTAACTAAACGTGGCGCTAGCTGTTGCTTTGGGGAAATACCTTGATTTCGACATATACTAGGTGGTCGTCCCTCTGCCGAACACAGAACAAGATGACAGTTGTCGCTGATTGAAATGTGCCACAAGTAACCCATTATATGCCATGTTTAAACGCCACGCCTCCTCCGTCTCAGCGATAGGGAGTGTAGGTATATTTTTTGTGCTGACGCGCAGAAAGCGTGTACTGTTCAAAGAGCTGAAAAAAGCTCAACATTCGAAACGGTGCCAGCAGAGTGGAGGACTGAGTGAGCTCCGTCTCAATCAATTACAAGGGCAATGTTGCACTGGTTCTCCACCACTTTCGCCAAATGGGAGTGCTTTTTCCCGTTTCTTTCTCCTGCCAATACAAATCGATACTTTCATGCTTGGGGGAAATGTGCGTTTGAACTGGACCACGTTTGCACCGTAGACGTTTGGAATGAATCGCCGAGGGGCGGGGCAGGCCGCCCATCTCATCGGGGCCACCCCTCCGCGCAGCGATCACAACAGCCCTTGTTGTTTCGTAGCCGGTTGCTTTCAGTCCTCTCTCTCCCAAATCCTAAGAAAATGGCCACTCATGGGAATGTACCCGACTCGCCACTCTGTCTACGGTAAGTTTTTTTGGCCGTATGAGCGACACTTTTTTCAAAGAAGGGAGTTTTCTATTTGTTCAGTAAATAAATTTGCAGAACTAGAGCATTCCCTCGCACTTCGACACACCACCTCCCGAGCATTATAAGCATAACTGTGCTTTATCGGTGTTCTCAATGGTTCCAATGGCCTTCGAAAACATTCCGATATTGCAGGAAACAACGACCGCAGTAGCCATAAAGGCTAAATTAACTTATAACTATCCCATCAACTGCGTACGCAGTTCTGGTCGAAATGGATGAGACGACGTCGCCGTGGAAGCGACAACACCGTCGCATGCAACGGTAGAGGGATCTGACTTAAGTGGTTGGGATTAGTATTTTTGCATGCTCCCCGTAGACTAGGTTAGGTTAGGTAGGGTGCCTTTGCTCTGTAATGGCCTTATCACGGACTATAACTGACTGGTATCGGTTTTATTTCTCGTGACATGCGTTTCACATTATAATCGAGTTTTCATTTAGTTGGAAACATCCCCTATCAGACCACTGAGGATGCAATCGGAAATCACTTCAGCCAAGCTGGAAACGTTACCAACGTGAGGTAGGTCGCCAGAAGCTTACAACAAATTGCGCTGTACTAATTCTTCTGTGCTTTCAGAATCGTCTATGACCGTGAAACTGGTCGCCCAAAGGGCTTTGGATTCTGCGAGTTCTCTGATGAAGCTGGAGCTCAAAATGCAGTCAACACCCTCAATGGAACGGATTTCAATGGCCGATCACTTCGAGTGAACTACGCTAACAAGAACTGATCTCGTCCATCATATTTACCACTCTGCTATTAAAAAATAAAACAAATCATTTATTCGGTGTTCAAGCATAAATGAAACTCCAAAAAATCTGCTCGAAAGAGCAGAAAAACAGATCATCAAAAAAAACTACAAAGATCCCTGCTATCATCCTGCACATCCTGGTATAGTTACAGTCTAGCCAGATCAGAGGGGTGAGTTGGCGTGGTGCCAAACCGTTCTCCACCAGTTGTTGAAGCGAGCAAGTGACGGGACTGTGTTATGTCATTAATACCACTCGTTTTTTGCCAGTTGTTGTCGCATACCCGC